CGCACCCGGGATCCAAACCGGTGAACCCCGGGCCGCTGAGAAGCAGAACGTGTGAACTTAACCACTGCGCCACCGGGCCAGCCCCTGAGCTGAATTCTTAAAAATATCTTAAGCGTTTCGAGAGGCAGTGTTCCTCCCAAGGGGCCAGTGGGGATGAGGGACACCACTCCCACTGTGGAGGCCCCTGCTGACTGTCTTTTCCAGAGTTGTAATTTACACACGGTGAAGCGCGCAGAACTTGGTTAACTGGTTAGAGGTCTGACCGCACGCTCCCTGCCACCCAGGTCCCAGTTGAGGTGGGCGATGTTGCCATCACCCCAGGAAATTCCCTGTGCCTTGCTCCCCAAGCAGCCACCGTCAGTGTGGCTGTGCCTTCTGAGGCCTCCCCTGAACCATTTGCCTGGCTCTCTCCTTCCCGCTCCGTGTCGCCAGGCCTGGGCCTCCAGCCATGAGCCTCCAGCTGTCATCTGCACCCTCTTCCCCTCTGGTCCGGACTCTCCTCTGTACCTCACATTTACCCTCTCCTCTGGCTTGGTCCTGTGGGTCAGCCTACAGGGCAGGGGGCACAGTGCTGAGGGTACACTGGGCCTGCCTGGGACCATGGGATTTCCAGTCCTTGAGAAGGTGTACATCCCCTTAGCCAGCTACTGGCTCCCCACTAGTTCCTACTGAAAAGTGACAAAGACCTGAGAGTTGCTGAGACAGCACAGATTACACGGGGTGGAGCCTTAAGAATCAGGCTTACAGGGGTCTGAAGCTGAGCCTCAGTTTGCTTATTATAAAATAAGGATGCAGATGACATTGACCATATAGATTGCGGGGTTGGCAGCAGGATTTCAGGAGAGAATATTTTATTTCTCTTTGCCTTGTGGGTATGGACCACAGCCGACTGCAGACCCTGACTGCTGGGGGCGTTTCCATCATTGTCAACACGAGCTGCCTGGCTGCACTGAAGGACAGGAGAATGGAGGAGTAGAGTGCTAGCTTAGAAGAATGGCAGTCTTGGAGAGAATGCTCCTTAAAAGGGAGTCTGGCTGACAATAAAATCCTTGTCTTAGAGTTGCCATATGAACTCCTGTGGGAATTGTTGGTGTAAAAGTTTGCACATGATAAAGAGTACATTTCATGCTCTAGTTGTGCTGGCCCTGAGTTCCTCTTTCTGAGGATTCAGAGGGCAAGCCGGTCCTAGAGGACTTTCTGTGTGGAGCTGTGCGCGGGGCAGCTCGCTGGCGAGGATGCGGGTTATGGAGTTGACGGGTGAGGATACTGGTGCCTGGAGGGCGGTAACTGAAAGTCAGGGAGGGCCAGGTCTCTTCCCTAAATACCTTCCACCGGCTGCACGCTCCAGGGACAGGCAGGCCTCCGCCCGGGAGACTGACCTGTCTCCAGTGGATTCCATCCCCAGGGTTCCACGAACCTGAGGAGCCATCCCCGTCCCCCGTCTGGCCGTCCCATCTCCTGCCAGTGCTTGTGAACATTGCTTGATTTCTCAGCCTAAAAGGTGCCATAAAAATAAATATTTATGAAGCACGGCATCTGGGCAGCTGGTAGAGGAAGAGGCCGTGCCCCTCTGTCCAGAGGGATCTGCTGGCCCCGGCGCCTGCTCACCTGCAGAATCCCCACAGTGGCCGCTTGGACAGTTTCCTGCCTCCAGTCCAAAGCCAGAAGGGAGGGGATCAGAGTCCCAGGAGCATCGGTGGCTGAGCTAGAGGGACCCTCAGAGGCGTACCTTCAGCCTCTGCTTTTTACTGTTGATGGAACGAGGGCCATTGTTCACTCAGCAAGCATTTGCTTTTTGTGTCAGGCAGAAGATACAAAAGATGGAGAAAAAAATGGCCACTAGCCTGGAGAATGATTGCAAGATAGGGACAGATAAAGAAATAATTGTAACGGGGTATACACTAAGGAAACAAAAGAGGGTGCTATGGGTGAGGGTAGAGGAGATGCTCCTGCTGGGCCTCGAGGGATGAATAGGAGCTTGCTGGAGGGTTACAGAGGGATAGAGAGTATTTCAGACATGAAAAAGCCATTGTGAAAAGGTCCAGAACACGATGTTTGGTGTGGGTGATGGGGTAGGACAGGAAGGATGGCAGGTGAGAGACAGCCAGGCTTCGGAAGATCTTCTCAGTGCTGCCAAGGAGGGTCTTCTCAGTGCTGCCAAGGAGGGTCTTCTCAGTGCTGCCAAGGAGGTGACTCCATGGCCTGTTGGTGGGTGCTGGGATGGGTGAGCCCTGTGTAGGTAGGAGGCCTGGGGTGCGGAGCGTGGCAGGAAGTAGGAAGCAGGGCTCTCGAAGTTGGCTGGGGTTGGAGTGCACCATCCTGTAGGCAGGGGATGCAGGGGAAGAGTTTTGATCGGGGGAACAATGGAGTCACCAAACAGACTGGCCTTGTGGAGGAGAGGAGAGAGGGGCCAGTGGAGGCAGGTTTGGGCTGGGGGTTGAGATGGGGACCAGGGAGAAGGGGCGGGGGTGACTGAGGCTTCTGGCTGGCAAGGGATCTGCTGTCCATGGCAAGAAGGTCCTTCCCTCAACTCACTCTGCTCGAGGCTGGGGAGGATCAGAGCAGGACCCTGGGCAGCTCCCTGGCCAGCTGTCCCTGCCTCCCTCCCCATGGCTGTGCCCCACCGGTCAGCACCATCACAGCCCCTCCTGGGACAGCACCTTGCAGTGGAAGGTGCTCAGTAAGTGTTTCTTGTTGAACAGAAGGTAGAGTGCCCTCTGGTTCAGCCTGAGTTCTAGAGGCTTCGGGGCTGAGCTGTGGGTGTCCCCTTCTAGGGGGGGCAGCCTGTTTTGAGGCCTGTTCCAGCTCTTTCATCCTTCATGAGTGGCTTCACTTCTGTTGTGTTCTCCAGGGGAACTTGAAACGTCTGTCATGGCCCAAGGCTTGCTGCTCTGACCCAGCCTGGGAGCCTCCAGGGGTGCAACCCAGACAAGACAGAAGCAAGCTGGGAGGCCGCCTGTGGGTCCTTCTTCCCCTGCTTGCTGAGCGGGTCTTCCTTCTTTGTGCGTTTATTAATGCACTTGCCTGCTCCTGGGGTCGCGTCCCCCGTCGTCACTCTACGCGTGCGCGTGAGAGTGCGCCTGTGGTTCCTTTGGGGGGTTCGTGCATTCCTCACTCACTCGTAGGCCCGTCTGGATCAGACTGCTTGCTCTCCTCTTACCTCGGTCCTTGGCCACACAGAGGTGAAGATTTGCCCTTGGGAGATACGGGCTGACTGGGAGAGGAGGACCACATGTGTGAAGGAAATGCCGGGCCACATCCTCTGCGCTCAGTGACCTTCTGGAATCTCCCTACTGTCACACTTAGCAGCACTGTCTAGAGGGCAGCCTGAGTTATGCCAGGAGAAGGTCGCTTGGTCAAGCAAGAGTTGGAGTGGAACCTTCCTTGCCCTCCAGGGCTGGGTGACCTGTGGGACGGACCAAGCCAGGAGCATTGTCTCTTCTCAGCCCCCAAAAGTGGCAGGGTTTTTGAAAGAATGTACTCTCCCTCCAAACGAAACAAAACAGAATAAAAACACCCTCAAAGTAGACGTTATGGGAAAGATCAGAACTCTGATGGCCTTAGAGTTATTTTGCAATTTAGACATTTCTACTTTGAATTACATGTGGAGAGCCACCATAATATTTTCAGTGCTTTGGGCCTCTAAAATCCTTTCTAAAAAGAAAAAGAAAAGTGCAAAGAATAATGCAGGGGCTCAGTAAATACTCACCACTCCAAATGTCGGAGGCATCTCATCGTTTTAGAGAAGGAAAACAATATGCAAAGTGTCCAGCTGTTCTTCCCTCTTGTCACTCTTGAGAGGCAGGAAGTCTCAACTGCAGGCCATTCTGTCCCCAGGGGATGTTTGGGTCACATCTAGAGACATTTTTGGTTGTCCCAAGTGGGGAGAGCTGCTGATTTCGGGTAGGTGGATGCCAGAGGGGGAGCTGTGAAGCCGACAGTGCAGGGCACAGCCTCCCCATGAGGAGCAGCCCAGCCCAGGAGTGGACAGTGTGCAGGGTGAGTGCCCTGCTCCAGATGCAACCACTGTCATGAATTCGGTATGTCCAATGCCAGTGTCGTGTTTAAACACACGTGCAGAAAGAATATTTTGTACTATGTGGTCGTGTGTTGTTTTCTAAAAATGTATAGATATGCTCTGGGAATTCTGCAGCCTGCCTTGTTCATTCGATATGTGTTTGAGAATGTCACATGTTGACACATACATCCAGTTTATTTGACTTCTGTAGTTTAGCTCTTTTAGGAATGGGCCACGTTTTATTTATCCCTTCTTCCGTAGATAGACACCCAAGTTTCTAATCTCATTCATTGCACGCGTACCAATAGGAACATCTTTGCGCACGACTTTGCACACTTCTGTGAGTATCTCTGGGGCGGATGGCTGGGAGTGTCATTGCTGGCACATGGGAGCACACCTTTCCAGTCCACACCCTCATCAATACTCAAGACTGTCCGCCGTGTGGTTTGGTGAGAAGGGGCAGGCGGCTGTCGTTTTGGTTTGCATTTTCTTGGTCACTGAGGAGGCTGAGCGTCTCTTCACGCGGGTGTCAGCCCGTTGCGTTTGCTCTGGGGCCTCTGAACACCTCCGCAGGGTCTTGGTCGCAACACCCTGGTGACCTAGACTTTGGCCCCAGTGGAGGCACTTCCCCTCAGGGCGCTGACACTCCCCCTCAGAGCCGCCGGTTCCCTTGTCCAGCGTGCCTGCACACTGCGCTTCCGCTGCTGGCCCGCTCCCCCCCTCCCGCCCCCCCCCACAAGACGCGACACAGCTGATTGGGTTTCAGCTTTTTATCTTCAGTTTTATGAGATTACACTGTAGTAACCTTTGGGACTTGGATGTGCCAGAGCCTCCTGGCGTGTTCCCAGAGGGTAACTTTGTTTCTGAGTTTTGCGGGCTTGTCGCTCCTTGGGCTCCCCATGTCCAGGTCGGGAAGGGGCTGGGGGTGGGGTGTTGGGAGGGGGCTGGCTGGTCTCCTGTTGACACCAGCTCTGTCCTACAGGCAGACCTCTACGTTATGACCCGGCTGCTGGGCTACGTGGACATCTCGGATCCCCGCTTTGTGGCTGCCGTCCTCGCCATCACTTTCAACCCACTCTTCTGGAATGTGGTAAGTGCTCTCACACTGACACTGGCCAGGCGGGTTGCACGGACGGACACGCGGCTGGCTCTTCCCACCCCTCGTCTATCTCTGGCCTGTGTGGAATCCTCCTCTCTGCTTCCCCACTGAGGTTAGCACCCCGTTAGAGGATGCTGACCAGGGAAGCCCCTCACCTCCAGGATCTCAGGGCGTCTTGGCATCGGCAGACAGCCGGGGTGCTGCTGGGCTGGCCTGGGGCAGCAGGGCTGTCCTGTGGTGGGCTGCCCACGTGTGCCCCACGATCTCACGCATGGTCTTCTAGTTGGTGAAGTGGATTCTTGGTTTAGGGGTTTTCTTCTCTCTGCCACGCTTCACAATGAAGCCACTTTCTTGTGACTCCCCACCCCCTCATATGTGCTCCATAAACATGATTATTGTTCCTAAACGAGCTTCTTGCAAAATGGTTTGCACACCGCTGAACTGAGGTGTGCTGGGCAGCAAGAACTGGCCAACAGGAAGTGAAAACAGGAGACAGAGCGGCACTCAGCTCTTCTGTGGGTGCATGGACCCTTGGAGAGCTGGGGTGGGGCCGGGCTGTGTAGGAAGGGGCTCTGGGCCCTTGGAGGAAGGCGTGGGAGGGAGGGCAGTCTCTCCAGCTGCAGCCTTTTTGTGAGACGTCCCACTCACCAAGATGTGGTGGAAGCTCTTGGGGTTTCTGGTCCAGCTCTCCCATGGTGTGGCCGTCTCCAGAGGGGTGGAAGGGAGCCGCAGTGGTGCTCCCGGGGCTGCTTCCCGAGGCTCCTGCCCCGGGCCAGGCGAGCTGGTGGTCCCTGGGGCTCAGCCCGTGCTTGGGTTTGCTGATGCAGAGCTGCGGACGTCCTGTGATTGCCTTTGAGGGCAGCCTGAGGAGTCACGCCAGCTCAGCGTTAGCAGCACACTGTTCCAGGCCGTTTTCATTTCAGGTGATCCCTTGGTCCCAGGGGCAGAACAGGACATGTTTTTCATCTGGTTTATGAGTTAGGTCTTTTCTCCATGTGGGGAGATGGGTGGTGGGTGGGAGTCGGGTGGGGGCGGGGCTGCTCATCTCCAAGAGTTCACATTCTGAATGTGCTGTCCCTCCTGTCCTGAGCACGCTGGACCTGCCCTGAGAAGCTCGGCGCCAGCCTCGGGCCAGGGGGGACCCACTGGCAGGAGGGGCTCTGAGGGAAGGAGCTCCAGAGCTTGCTTTGTCCAAAGCCATTCTTCAGGCCTCCTGGGACCCCCGCCCCCTCCTGGGTGGCCTTGCCCCACTCTGTGCCTGAGCTGGCCTTGACCTTCTGACACACAGCGCCCCACAAGAGCTAAAAGCTGGCCTTGGTGGAGTCCGAGCAGCCCTCAGCCCCTCCTGTATCTCCCCATGCTCTCCCAGGGCCCAGCCGCCTGCCCCTCCCACTTCACCTCTTCAGCATCTTCAGTGTGAGACAGTGAAGGGTAAAGAGGGTGTGGCAGGCTGAAAAATGGCCCCAAAAGATGTCCGTGTCCTAGTCCCTGGAACCTGTGAATGTTCCCTTATATGGCAAAAAAAGGGGAGGGCTTTCCGGGCGTGAGTAAGTTAGGAATCCTGAGATGGGGAGATTGCCCTAAATGCCTCCCTTGACAAGAGGGAGGCAGAGGGAGATGTGGACACGTGACGCTGGCCTTGAAGACAGGAGTGATGCGGCCACGAGCCAAGGAAGGCCACAGCCCCGGCAGCTGTGAGAGGCAGAGGGCTTCTCCCTTGGAGCCTCAGGGGGCGGCCCTGCCCACACCTTGACTGTGGCCCAGTGGTGCTGGTTTCGGACTTCCGGCCTCCAGAGCAGAGAGAATGTGTTCCTGTGGTTGTAAGCCACTAGTTTCTGGTAGTTTGTTACAGCAGCAGCCACAGGAACTGACACAGGGTATTAAGGAGGCTGCTGATCACGGCAGGAGGACGTCGCTGCGTGCGCGGTGCTCCTCCGGTCCACGCGCCTCTCCCCGAAGGCCTGGTCTTGACTGCAGTCACGCTGGTCTCCCAGCGCCGGGGGCCTGTCTGCCGGTGCACAGCGGCACTTCGTCACACACAAGCCCCTTCCTCTGCTTCCCGCTGGCCCGTCCGACAGCGCTTTGTGATTTCATTTTGAAGCTGTGCTGTGCCCGCGACCAATGTCCGTAACAGCCGCGAGGCTGCGGCACGGAAGGTTTGGGGGACAGGCAGCTTGTGCCTGTGCATTTGTCATAAGGGTTTTTTTCTTTTGTCATACGTTTTTGATTTGCCGTGTTTTTGAAAAAATTATTCACTGGAACAGTTTGTGATCATTAGTGGGAGAGACAGAGCTCCTCAAAGTCGCCTCAGAAGGAGAAACGTTACAGCGACATGTTGCGGTTTAGTGGGCTCCTGCTCGGGAGAGCTGTGGAATGGCCCTGGGAGGCAGGGAACACCGGACCCCCGCTCTGGGACGCCATGGAGAGTCCCAGCCCCGAGCAGTGAGAAGTCGCGCTGTGAAAGCATTGCGTGAACATTAATTCAATCCCCGTAACAGCTGATGCTTGGCAGGGCTTGCCACGCTTGTGCTGAGGGCGTTTCGTGCAGTATTTCAGTTAATCGTCACAGCAAAGCCTGTTAGTATCCCCTTTAGAAACCGGGGCTTGAAGAGGTTCACTCATTTCTTCTTCGAGTATTTATTGAAGCCCCACTATGTGCCAGGCATTGTCCTAGATGCTGGGGGCACATGGCCCTGGTCCTCATGGAGCTGACACTCTGGGAGCGGGGACAGTACGTGAATAAACACATATACTGCCCGGTGTTGGTAAAGCAGGGGAAGGGAAGGGAAAGTCAGGGAGCGCTGGTCAGGGCAGGAGTGCCCTCTGAGCAGATACTGCTCCTCGTGTAGGAGGGAGCCCTTGGGTATCTGGGGAAGAGGACACAGCAGGTGTAAAAGTCCTGGACAAAAGTCCTGGGTGATTTCAAGGAACAGCCACCAGCTGGAATCTGACGGGGAGAATGGAGGGCAGATGGAAGAGGTGGCTGGGACAACGGGGCAGGCCTCGTAGGCCATGGGGAAGACTTCGATGGATTCTGAGCTGGGAGCCTTGGGATGAGTGGCCCTATCTGACTCAAGTTTTCAGGGTTGACGAGGTTGACTTGGGCTGCTGTGATGAGAACAGATCTCATCACCGGGAGTGAGGGCGGAGCTGGGAGGCTGTCACAGCAATTGAGCCACCAAGATGGCAGCTTGGACCAGAATGGCACCAGCGAAGTGGGGAGAAGTGGTCAGATTCTGGGCACAATTTGAAGGCAGGAAGAGTCAGCAGGATTTGCCGTGATTTGGTTGGGAAGTGAAAGAGAGAGGCAGCATGGCCAGCCCCATGGTTGGGACCTGAGTGACTTGTAGTGAGAAATATACATTTGGTCTTCATCTTGGCACATCGCAAGTAAGTCCTTGGAATTTCCTAAGCAGTGAGTGAGACCAACGTGTCTTTTGTTCTGATAATGAGGTGACTTTCGGAGAGCACCTAAGGATGGGGCTTGTTGCCAGGGGCACCAGCCAAGTGATTAGTGGGTTAGAACATTCATGCCACCCTGACCTCTGGAAAGGAGGAGCTGGAGAGTGGATTCAATCGCCAATGGCCAGTGACTTAATCAACCACGCCTATGTAATGAAACCTCCATAAAAACCCAAAAGGACAGGGTTCAGAGAGCTTCAGGTTGGTGCACACACATGGAGATGTGGGGAGAGTGGCGTGCCCAGAGAGCGTGGAGCTCTGCGCCCTTCCCCACACCTTGCCCTCTGCATCTTTCCATCTGGCTGTTGATTCATATCCTTTAATATCCTTTGTGATAAACTGGTAGTCTAGTGAGTAAACTGGTTTCCTGAATTCTGTGAGCTGAGTAGATGGTGTCAGAATTGAGTTGAATTGTAGGACACCTAGCTGGTATCAGACAACTGCTTGAATGTGTGGGGGAAAAAACCCATATGTTGGAATTGGGTGCAGAATTGTAGAGGGCGTGGCCATTTGCTGAAATGGGACAACTGAGGGAGACCAGGGTTGTGGAGGAAGAGGGCTCCGTCATGCCTGTGTCAGATTTACGATGTCCTTGAGACTCCAGGTGGAGTTGGAGACCGCGTGGGTCTGGAATTCAGGGCAATGTTTGGGGGCCGGAGATGATGTCTGAAGCGGTGGAGAGTGGCTGCTCAGGGCTGAGTCTGGCCTTGACCCAGACCTTCTGACTGCTCCAGGGCCCACTGTCTGCCTCCCTGGGCTGTGCTCTTGGAAGTGTTGACACCGGCTGGAATTGTCAATGCCATTAGGTAGATGTGTTGGTGCACCCCCCGCCCCCCGGCCCCGCCCAGCACCCTGGCCCGCCTCGCTCCAGGCAGCTGGTGTGTGTGTCCTCCTCTGTTAGAATCTTTGTTCCCCAGCCTCAAGTTCTTTGTTGCTCAGTCCAAAGGAGGCTTTCTGCCTTCTCTCCTTGGATCTTTGGGGGACACTGTAACACTGTTGACCCTCTCTCTTTCTTGAAATCCTGCCCTCCCTGTGCCCCTCCTGCTTTTCTGGCTTGCTCTCTGCTGCTCCTTGTGAACTTCTTTTCCTCTACTGTGATTCATTCATTCAACAAATGTTCATAGAGAATCTGCTGTGTGCCATGTGCTGTTTGAGCCCGCAGGAGCCAGCGAGTAAACCTGTGCAGCCTCTGTTCTCAAAGACCACAAAAAGGTTTGTAGTTAAAATTGTGAAAAGGTCAGGTGCCACCAAGGGGCTAATTGGGGCTTTTCCTTTTGTCATCTGTGTCTTAATCTCTGGCCCAGAATCATCTCAGAGTGCCGGGAGCTTGAGTCCAGGTGCTGTGTCCCCACCTGGGTGTGTCCAGGCCTAAAAGGGAGCTCACTGTTTAAACCCTGGCCAAGATCTCTCTGACGTGCTCCCCTCCCCATCTCCAAGGAGGAGGCCACCCTGTCCCAGTGGCCCGGGGTGGAGATCCAGGTGCCAGCCTTCTCTCCTTCCCCTCACCTGCCTCCACAGGCTCTGGCCTC